AGTCTTAACTTTAATATGTTAGGATTTCATCAAAAGTCTATGTTCTTTCTGCTAAATACAACAAATGACAAGTGTTTCTTAATTCAGGCATGTCTTCTGAATATTTGATATTAAATTGGCTTACAGCATTGAAAGCGGATCTGGTGTTAGTCTTTAACAGCAATATTCTGTAATTCTATGTTAGACTGTAAGATGTTTTCTTAAACTAGAAGAGAAAGTATCAGTCTAGTGCTCTCCTGTTCTGGCCTTTCTTGTGTATTATCTATTTCTCACTTTGATCCCAGAGCAGTCAGTCTGAAAGAGCACTTTTTTATTGTCCAGCCTTTAACATATTACCTATGTTTTTACTGTTAAATAAGTTATTGTATATACCTTACATTTCTGAATTTCCTTTGAATGTCTTTAGATTAAATACTAAATTAAATGTTATTATGAATGGACATGATTTTGCGTATTCTTTGTATGGGGTGTTTTTGCTGGGTTTTTATTAATTTCTATCATGGAAAGCACATAAACTATCTGTTTTCTTTGAGAATATGGGTGGTTTTCACACATAAGTTTAAATTTTGGAAGCAGGTGAAGGTGTATTTGCATTGTGATAGGGTTTTTAAAAACATTGGTAGATCACATTATATAAATTTTTTCTTACATTTTGTAAACATATATAACTCATTTATATACATACATAGTATTAACCCCTCTATATGAAGCTATCTCTTTATAAATCTGTACCTTAGAGTTGTGAGAAAATATTCATCATTACTAGCTTACTTAATGGCTTTTGCTTAGTGCATAAGGAAGACATACTTCAAAAAATACATTTTAAAAAATGAAAATGGAATTGACATGATGCAAGTTGCAATTACTTTTCTTGGCCCCAGGAGAAGATCTTCATCTTCACTTTAATGGCAATCATTGTCAACAGAGGAAAGAGCAATAATATTGGAGAAGGAAAACATTTTGAACTGGTTTACTTTATATAACCATAGCTTTCTTCCTGAATTCAATTCCTTCCTTTTGCATTCTTTAAGTCTCCTTCGAGTAACAACAAAACTAAAAACGGAACATAGAGCAATTGTGTAATTTAACTAATCCTCCTAGCAATTTTAGTACAAATTATTGATACGCTAATCATATCAGTAGTGATTTGTAGATAATGCCAATTGCTCTTCAGATACTAATTAGGCTAAATCTTTGTGGAAGTTAATATTAGAACTAATTCCTATTAGTTTAAATCCTTATGCGCATTTAATTATAGATTTGCTTATGAAACAAACAGCTGCACCTTTTCCATCAGCTTTGTTAGTCTGTTATTTGAAAGGATTAAGCTTCTCTGCATCACTACAAACTATTTTTCAATTTAGCTTGTCTTGGCTGTGTTTTACATCTTTCCTTGCACCTGGCCTAATTTTTCCAGAGCTCTTTATTGATCTAGTGCAGCTTTTAATCTAACCACATTAATAACATTACTCTTTTTATTATTTTTTGAAGTAATCCATTTGGCTTGCCTGTCTTGGCTCAAGATGGTAGGAATTAATTGTAACATCTCAAACAAAACAATATGTATAATTTGCAATCAGCATTCTTAACAAAGTTGTACCAAATGAGGTAAATGAAGTTCAGTACAGTTGAAACTTCTCTAACCAATTCATGATAGATACAATCTGGACAATATTTTGCAATAGTATTTATTGACAATATTCAACATCAGCTTTTGAGAGCTTATGAATTTGACTATAAATACGGGCCCAAACATAGGGAACTAAGAAGCTTGAATGAGATAACAACATTTTCATGGAAATTTGCATATATGTCTTTTTTTTTTTGTGGAGAAGTTATTGAGGACTGAACTGCAAGGCAGCGGAATTGCTTGAACTTTTGTTGTTTGGACACAAACTCAGATAGCTTGTTTACCTACCAAATTAGTGATCATGGTTGTTTGGAAGTCAATATCATAAATATCAAAAACACAATTACTGTGAAGTATGGTTGGGTAGATATGCTTCAAATATCTGTATCATTTTCCCAGAGGACTAATGATACTGGTGTATGGTTCAGAGAAGGGAAGCTACTTCAGCTGTGCCAGCAACTGAATCTTGAGATGCAGCAAAGGTTTTCTGCCAGAGTAATCAAAAATTTTGCACATTTAATCACAAAATCCTTGATTATTTGTTGTCCTTTGAACTCTGGGTGCTTGAGCTGATACTGTCTTTAAGACAGGAATGAGAAAAAATGTGTGTCTTTGCAGGTAGAATGATTTGCATTCATAATTATGTTCCAATAGATAAACCAAGTAGTGACAGTTTGTGGGTGAATTACACAGCAGATCAGTCATCATTACACTTCTAAGTGTATGATTGGGATAGAAATTTGGATGCTAGCCTTCAGCTAACATGGCTTAACTAATGTGATCAATTTGAAGCAGACCAAGTCAAATTTTTCTTTCTCGGGGGAATAGAAGACCTAAGGTATGTTCTAGCCAGTTGATATGATAAATTTTTAAATACCGTTTGCAGCAACCAGGAATGGCAAATGCACTGTTTTGCACCCTTCACAAATAAGAGATCTGAGGAACAGCTTGTTCCTTTCTTCCTTTTTTTTTTTTTAAAAAAAAAATTCATGTATCCTTTTCTGTTAATGTTTTCCATCTCTTCTCCAAGATAGTCGGCACTAATTCCAGTAAAATGAACCCCCATGACAGGGAAGCTATCTCTTTGGATAATTTTGGAACTGCAGTTTTGTTGACTTGTACATTGCTACAAATCTTTGCAAAATTCAAGCCTGCTATAAGCCACACTTCTTCACTTCTTACTGTTAAATGAAGAAGAAAAAATATTAAAAGATAATAAAAACATATTATTTTCTTTTGTTCTTTCTTTCTCTCAGTATTGATCATTTTGTCAGACTTTGTCCTCAGATTATTACAAGTAATAATTCTTTAAGCATATTCAGGTAATAATATTCTACCTAGTAAAGACAGTTGGTCGATGTATATAATGCTACATCCCTCAGCTTTCCAAACAATGGATACTGCTTAACTAATAATCTTAAAATAACCTAGTTGGTTTTTTTTAAGTTAGCAGCACTGAAATTGCTATAAGGATAAATTTTCTGGCATGGAATTTCATTGTGTTGTTTAATTCTGACAAAAAATATACAGGTTGTTTAAAACTGTTAAAACTTTCTTATTTCTTAATAGGAAACTGTAATAGATTTGGTGCACTGTGTTCATTGTATAAAGAATATTTCATAGAATCATAAAATCATTGAATGGTTTGGGTTGAAAGAGACCTTAAAGGTCATCTAGTTCCAGCCTCACTGCCATGGGCAGGGACACCTTCCACTAGACCAGGTTGCACAAAGCCCCGTCCAACCTGGCCTGGAACCCTTCCAGGGAGGGGGCATCTACAGTCTATCTGGACAATCTGTTCCAGTGCCTCACTGACCTCACACTGAAGACCTTTCTTATCGCTAATTTAAATCTACCCTCTTTCAGTTTAAAACTGTTACCTCTCATCCTATCACTACACTCCCTAATAAAGAATCCCTCCCCACCTTTCCTGTAGGTCCCCTTTTAGGTACTGGAAAGCTGCTCTAAGGTCTCCCTGGAGCCTTCTCTTCTCCAGGCTGAACAACCCCAACTCTCTCAGCCTGTCCTCGTAGGGGAGGTGCTCCAGCCTTGTGATCATCTCCATGGCCTTCTCTGGATCTGCTCAAGCAGGTTCATGTCCTTCTTTTGTTGGGGACCCCCACAGCTGGACACAGCACTGCAGGTGGGGGTCTCAAGAGCAAAGCAGAGGGGCAGAATCCCCTCCCTCAACCTGCTGAACACACTTCTCTTGTTGCAGCCCAGGACACCGTTGGCTTTCTGGGCTATGAGTGCACATGCTGGCTCACAGTTTTCCCTCCACCAATACTCCCAAGTCCTTCTCTGCAGACCTGGATTTGTGTTTGGGATTGCCCTGACCCGTGTGCAAGGCTTTGCACTTGGCCTTGTCGAACTTCATGAAGTTTTCACGGGCCCATTTCTCCAGCCCATCCAGGTCCCTCTGGATGGCAACCCTTCCCTCCAGCGTATCAACTGCACCACACAGCTCGGTGTCATCGGCAAACGTGCTGAGGGTACGCTTGATCCCACTGTCCATGCCACCAACAAAGATGTTAAACAGGATTAATCCTGGTACCAACCCCTGAGGAACACCACTTGTTACTGCTCCCCACTTTGACATCAAGCTATTGACTGCAACTCTTTGAGTTTTAAATCAGTTTAGTTATTCTAAGTTTGTAATGTTTTTGAAAATTAATAATTCCATTAACCAGAGACAATCTATTCTAGAAGGATGCTGAAATTTGTAAAATTTTAAATGGCATATCAAATCACTGAGGATTTTGAGACACTGCTAGCACTGTTTTTAGAAGACTCACATTTCTGGAAGAAAAGTGAAGTCTAAAGTTATCAGTAGATGTCTGTGTTTCCTTGTATGATGTGCTGGTCACATCTTAAAACTTCATTCTTTTAATGAAGAGGGACAAGTTATGCAATGTCTTTATAACTGTGCAATCCAAAAAATAGTATCGTATTGAAAAAGTATAAACAAAGAATATAGAGACAAGCAGGTGGTTAAACATGAGTTACTATTGTAAGACAAATAAGATCAGTGGAAATTACTTGCATGTCTTAATGTTGTTGCTGTAATGAAGGATAACTATGATACAGAAATCAAAATCAGAGCTATAGTGATTGAAAACTTGTATGATACATATGCGGAGATGCTGCTAATTTGTATTGTTTAATTTTGCTATTAGACTTCTTGTAATTACGTGAACACACTTGACAAGGCATCATTAAGTTTGACAAAAAGAAAAATCTATCACCATTACATTAAAGACTACATTCTGTGATGCTGAGTGCTACATTGGATTTTCAGAAATGGAAAATTTTCTGTCTGATTTTGGTGCCTGTGCTACCGCTACCTTTTTAACCTGTGCTTAACTTTCAGATACTGGAGGCTGGAAGAATCTATAGAGTTTTTGAAACAAGAAGTATGAAACAAGTCCCTCTCCTGCCCAAGCGCCTGACTGTGTGACATGATGTAGGTCATTTAACCATTTTATCTCTGGTTTTTCATTTGTAAATGATGAAAATTTACTGTTTTCTGTATTTTTAGGAATGCTTTGTTGTGATTAAATTTCCTACCAATCGTGATGAAGTTTTTAATTTTATTTTAAAATGAAATTAATTTAGTGCAAAAAAGATGTTCTGAAGAAAATATAAAATGAAACCTTACTTCACTGCTATTCCAACTAAAACTATTAATTAGATTTGTAATACTTTCACAAATAATTTCAACTGACCTAAGGCTGACATATGTGAGACTGCTTATTGTTATTTTTTTTACACTGTTACCTAATAGTTTTGCAATGGTTTGAGCATTTAATATATATACCTGTTTAACAAGCAAATGTTGTTATTGCCTGCAGTTTTATAAACTTGTTATGTGCTTGATTGTGGTTTAAATAATTCTTTTGGAGCTGTTTAATTATGATTTGAGTGTTTAACTCCCAATGATGTGGAAGGTGTTCTGTTCACTAGTGGATCCAACAAAAGAAGTGATTTCACAGAAAAGAAATCAACAAGTTACAAGAGATAGGATTTAGAAATTATAGGGAAATAACAAATAGAAAGTTCTTGGGAAAATACAAACATTTAATTCTCTATGTGATTCAGAAAAGGCTGATAAGTTTCAGTTCATTGTCCATGTTAACACAGTATTAGCAGAGAATCTGCCTTGCAAGTAGAATATCAGTATCTTTCAACTCATCTATGTCACAGTCTAACTAATGTACATTCATAATAACTTAAGGAAATAGAATTTTCCGAGGAATTTCATGGGAGGCTAGGGTGGTAGAGCTCACTCTCGGGTAGACATGACATATATACATCATTTAAAGACAAGAAGGGGGGAATGGATTGGGAAACAGGAGTAGCTCATATTTGAAAGGGATGTTCATAACTCTAATGACTTCTTCACTTAGCTGGCAAGATGCATTTTACCACCATATGTGCTAGGAAAGCAGTTCACTTAAGGTCCTGACTGTACTAACATAGCAATTGTGATCTACATGTTATTTTATTTGTAACTAGTATAAATATATTTCAACATAATTTATATCTTCACACTTACATTAATATTATTGTAAGTACTTAGGGATTCTGGGTTCTTCTAGATTGAGTGTACACATAAACTAAGTTGTAAGAATCCTGTTGTTGAGCACAAAGTAATTCTGAATATGCTTGTATTCTTTTTGGTTAATTAGTGTATTTTTGTTATTGCTCCTGTTGCAGAAAGCCTTATATCCACTTAACTTTGCTTTTGCTTTTATCTTCACAATATGTGCTAGCCTCCAACAGAATTGAACTTGAAATCTTTGTTGTTTATTCACTAGTCATTATTTATAAAGAAATTAAGAATTAGATTAATCATACTGGTCATTATTCTTTTTTAAGCATTTGTAGTTATTATTTTTTGTGGTTTTCAGCTGACGTTTTTGAAGGTAGTTATTAAAATTAAGTTTCTTTCCTTACTAGAGTTTTTTTTTTATCTGGTATAGATGTAAAATACAAGATACAAATGAAACTATGTTTGCAGTTGTCATCTGTTTCAAAATTTCTAATAATGAACTCTGGCTCTTTCCTGTAGGTGGTACTTTGTCTAATAGCAGTAGCTGGTTTTCTAAATGTTGTATTTCTTATAACAGTCTCACTCCTAGATGAGACTTCTGATTCTTCATCATTAAGGTTTGAAATGGCTAATTAATGGTTTGGTTATTTATTAACATTATTTTTAAGATGTGTAAAATATTTTTTAACAGTGATTTCACAGAGAATTGATAATGCAAGGTGCCAATTATAGACTGAACACTCCTTTTAACAATACTTTAAACAGCCTGTCATTCTCCAAAAGCCACTTAGTGTCTCTTCTCTGTCTTATATTTGCAATATGCAAATTTTGTGTTGTTCAGTCAGCTGAATAAATAATGGTTTTCTCAGAATTGAAATGAGCAGATATTTAGATATTAATACATTTGCTTAGGCAATCTTTTATTAAAAATCAGTTTACAGAAAATTTTGGGTTTTAGACTTTTTCTAACTTATGGAACATGAGGACAGGAAAGCACAAAATGTATTCAACAAATGCTCTTACTTTGATTATCTGTGTTTATTTTACTAGGCCTATCTCTTGCTTATCGCTGTACTGTCTTAGTATCTTAGAAAATTGATATTATTTCTCTTACAGCATTCTTTCAAAGGTCCCAGTTTTCTTTATTCTTTATTATTTCTTTATTTAATATCTAGTCTGTAGGAAAATTAGTCAGATTACACATTCTACATTTTCTTCTGAAAGCAGTAGAATTCACAGTTTTTCTGACTTCCCAGGGCTAAATTAACAAATATGGGCCAGACAGCTGGAGAACACTTTTTGTTGTTTGTTAGGTGTTTGAAAACAAAACTAAACTAAACAAAGAAAAACAAAAAGCCCTCCCAAAACCCCCAAACCCCACAATAATTTTCTTAACATTTTCAGCTCCACTGTTCTCGAAGATGGAAGGTCAGCCATTGTCATTGGAGGTTGTGTTCATAGTTGTGCTAACCAGATCTTTTCTGTCATGTAAGCTTGTACACTTAAGATACTTGAAAGGAAAAATTGAAAACTTAAATTTAACCATATTCAATAGGAAAACAATTATATGAGTGGAGTGATGTATTCTTGGTGACCTGTGTTGCTAAGAAACAAACTGCTCTATTCTCAATTGATTAAATCATTCTCTTATAAGTGATTTTACTACAGGGTACATTGCAATGCGTTTTTCAGTCTTGGATATCTCAAATCCATTAACCATGAGGTCAAGCTATTACCTGCTTCTCTATTTCAGTCTTGCTCCTTCTAAACTAAAATCATTCAGACACCTCTCCATGAACATCCAGTATAAAATTCCAGTTCAGCAGGGGACAAAACAAAACTCTTCCTGTTTCTCCAGACTTATCTCTGTTTCTTGTTTCTTGCCTTGATCCTGGCAGTGCATCTGTCATGTGGTAATGGAGCCTAGATGCCATCTTCAGCCTATACTTGTTCCACAGTCATTAGTGCTGAATTTTCCCAGTCCAAGTTGAGTTAGAACACATGTGGGCACATAGTGCGTTTCTGTCAAATTACCCAGCGCACATAAGAAAATACTTTGAACATCTCTTTGTTTTTATACTAGATTAATTGATATGTGGTCAGATAAAAAATTGGCAAACTTGCTGAGAGTGTGCTCAATCCCACTGTCCATGTCACCGACAAAGATGTTAAATAGCGCTGGTCCCAGTATGGACCCCTGAAGAACACCTTTTGTCACTGCTCTCCACTTAGACATCAAACCATTGACTGCAACTCTTGGAGTGCGATCATCCGGCCAATTTCTTACCCACTGAGTGGTCCATCCATCAAATCCATGTTTCTCCAGTTTAGAGACAAGGATGTTGTGTGGGACAGTGTCAAATGCTTTGTACAGGTCCAGGTAGATGACATCAGGTGCTCTTCCCTTATCTACCAGCACTATAACCCTGTTGTACAAGGCCACCAAATTTGTCAGGCGTTATTTACTCTTAGTGAAGCCATGTTGACAGCCACAAATCACATCTTTATTTTCCCTGTTCCCTAGCTTAGTTTCCAGGAGAATCCGATCCATGATCTTGCTGGGCATATGTAACTTCTCTCTAGTTCTATTATAATAAAACAACAGAAAGGAACTTCTCTGGTTCACTTTTCCTAATGCATTAGCCATTTCAGCTGAGCAAGCTGATAAATTATCTTAATGCTAAATCATGATAGTGATACTGTTAGATGACAAATCTCTGATTAGCATCAAGAGGATAGACAGTTGACTACCTTGGTTAAGACATGAGGTGAGGTTTAAAGAATACGATAGGCTTTGCATTGTCGTGCATGATTCTCAACTTCAAAACTAGCTCACTGGGTATAATGAATGCCAGTCAGTTTTTGAAAAAAACATTTCAAAAAGTAAAGACAATGTAAAATTGTCTCCCTGTTTGTGATAGTCATATTTTCACTTTCCAGATTATTACTGTATTTTTATTATATGTTTCCTCATTCTGTCCTTTACATTATATCACAAGCTGATGATTAATTCTTACTTGTGTATCACATGTAAATGATATGTCTTGAATAAAGAATACATTTGACTGGTTTTGTGGTTTAACCCCAGACAGCAACTAAGCACTATGCAGCTGTTCGCTCACTCCTCCCACCTCCCAGAGGTATGGAGAGGATAATCGGAAAAAACCCAGACTCATGGGTTGAGATAAGAAAGGTTTAATAATGAACATAAAATATAATAACAATAATCATGTAATAATTATTGTAATGAAAACTAATATAATAAAAAAGAGAGAAATAAAACCCAAGAAAAGACAAGCGATGCACAGTGCAGTTGCTCACCCCCTGCTGACCAATGCCCAAGCAGCGATCTGCTCCTCAGCCAACTCCCCCCAGTTTATATACTGAGCATGACGTCCTATGCTATGGAATATCCCTTTGGCTAGTTGGGGTCAGCTGTCCTGGCCATGCTCCCCCCAGCTTCTTGTGCACCGCCTTGCTGGCAGAGCATGGGAAACTGAAAAATTCTTAACTTAAGATAAATGCTACTTAGCAACAACTAAAACATCAGTGTGCTATCAACATTATTCTCACACTAAATCCAAAACACAGTACTGTACCAGCTACTAGGAAGAAAATTAACTCTAGCCCAGCTGAAAACAGGACAACTGTGTGCTCACCAATGCAAGAATTGTCATGGCTCCTGAGTTTCAGAAGTGTCTATCCCATATAGGGAATGTCTTTGTAAGTAAATAATAGCAAAGGGCTTAATATTAACATAAGAAATAGAATGTATGGAAGATTTTAACTGATTTTATTTTTAGCTTACAGTGACTTGTAGAAAATAGCATTGAATTACAGATTATCAGCTGGGCCATACTCTAAACCTGGGCATGACATGTGGCTCTAAATGCTGTGGCAACTGCAGCTGTGTTGTCAGGGAAACAGCCCTGTGCTCAGTAGGCAAAACCAATGAGGATTAAGCAAGGCTATATTATAGCAAAGCCCCTGCAACCTTATCAGGGAGCAACAAGATCTGTCTGTTCTTCACTGTGCAGGTGTATCGCAGGAGTGAGGGAGATAGGCACAGGCAAAAACATGCATGCAGTACACCTGATTTAAATATGAGACCTGGATTATTCTAACAAGTGAATGCATTTCCCAGTTAGATGGATGAAAAGACTCCATTTGTGTAAGTAAAATGTTTATATAAAATAAATAATAGAAAATAATGTGACGTTTTTCTGTAAAGTATGAAATGAGGAAGGGATAATTGAAGTATGATAAACTCTGGAAGTCTTTTTGATCTTTGCTGTAGCTTTGTAATCAGGCTAAAATTCACCCACAAGTATGCCACTATAAAAAAGATGTTAATTTCCCAATGATAGGAAACAAAGTTTATACAACACTGAGAAGTGGAATAGTTGTCAACAGTTTCAAGCACAGTGCTCTTTAGTAAAAAGAATTAATTCATGTGTCACTGAAGTAAACTCACACTCCAACATGCAGGTGCTATTTCATCCTAGTTTTTTGTATCTAAAAGAATCAAAATCCAAATGAAACTGAGATAAATATGCGCAAGAGAAAAATGTCTAATTGTTTTTTCTGGGTAGGGAAGGAAGTTGAAAAAGTTGTTTAAATTGCTATCGGAAGTTAATTTTTTTTTCTGCTTAAACTTTAAAATATTTTTCCTTTTTGTTTCTAAAGCAGAATAGAATGCTACACTTTTGTTGAAGCTTCATAACGTGTAAGAATGAGTGAATGAGCAACTAAATTTTGCATGCTTTGGCAGTATCTCTGGAGTATATTGTGCTTTTCATTTTTATATTGTCGGGTAACACCAAAGGTGATTAAATGTCTTTCTTAATTAGCCTTATGTTTTAATTGTTAATGTGCATGTATATACCATTGTATTTTTCTTGTTTCAGTATCTCTTGTGATGTTACATGCCTATTTACAAAAAAAAAAAAAGAGTCAATGTTAGTTTATCTGCAGCTAACGCCAGATGAACCTTTTTCAATAGTGATACTGTCCCATGTCTTGTACAGAGAAGGGAGGAACTGAAGCAAACTGTGAAATGACACATCTGATTATCATAGTGATTTTGCTTCTAACATTACCTTGTGATTTATTTTCTTTCCTGGTGCTTTTTTTTTCCTGCAGAGGTTAATCTAAGCCTGCCAAAGCCACTGGATTTTGTCAGATTTTGATTATTCTTTTCCAGCATCCCACTCCTTTTTTTTCAGTGCTTCTGCACTTTTTATTTTTATATCTGATTATTTAAAATACCTGGGGTTTTTTCATAATTACTGTTTTACCATTTCATCCAAATTACAGAAAAATTCCATGCATAAGATATTTCCTATTAAAAAGAGTTCAGTTTTTACAGCATGTTTAACATCATTATAGAAAACTTGAAATTGACCTGATTTCATTGCTTCATTTCTGAGAGTTGTCACTCTCCTGATAAGATTTTCTATCAGCACATCGGGAAGACATTAATCAAAGAGGACAGGGAAGACTTGGCCACTTCTGTGAGCTGAATATGATGTCAGTCTTCTTATCTATGTAAAATGCGCAATAGAAAAGTTAGAGATAAGAGCATATTCAATGCTTAAATATTTAAAGCTTAAATGTCGCAGAGCATAACATCAAAGTTGTTAGAATACATGCAGCAGTTTGCTTAAAAAACTATGACTTAAGTCCTTGGAGAAAAGTCCACTATGATCCAAATATGCTTAGAGAAACAGAATATTAATATTTAAAATAAAAGGATTAGGAGGTGTGTTGTGCCTCCCCAAAAGTTTCTCACTTCCATTCTTTCTTTCCTTTTTATATTCTTACTTTCAATTTTCAGATGGTTTTGTACTACTGTCCTGTTTAGTCCATTTAGTTTCACATGTGATTTAATATTCTCAAGCTTTTGTTTATGCTTTATGTGTCTAATAGTTATTTTGAAGGTCAGGTACAGAGCTGGGTACTTTTCGTAATTTATTATCTGTGTCTTGACCTTCTTCTCCTCCTCGCATTTTTCCTAATTTCAAACAAATAAATCTGCATTTATTCTCTCCTGGTCCATCTTCTGTCTCTAGCTTTATAGTAATTTTTCTTTGCTTTTTAATCACTAAAATCCGTGCTTTTGTTAGTCTGGATTCTATAAAGAGTTTGATGTGAATTAAATACTTAACCTAGAGTTCACTAATATGAATGAGCTTGACCAGTTATCACTACTTTAGAGAGCAACAAGTAGAATCCAACTTTTTTTCTTTAAATCAGCTAACTGCTTTAATAGTGTGCTATTGAATTACTGAAAGTTACTTACTACCCTGCCACTTTCTGGGGTAGTCTGCAATCCTGAACAATCGGCAGAGCAGCAGCAGTCTCACCAGTTGGGTTGTCTGTGGACAAATAGGCACATCAGTCTTTCTCTGCTCATTGAGTGAGTTAGATGCATCCAGGACATGTCACCCCTCCTGTGCATGTGCTGTGCAACTGATCTGGTTGTGAGTAACAAGTCTAAGATACTTATGATGCTGTAGATTTTCAGTAGGACATCTGTGCATGTCCCAAAACCATGTGTTCAGATACCCCAACTTGTGTAGTAGATCTCTCTTCTTTCATGTGAAACGTTGGCAAATATGATTTTTTCATTCCATTTTAAATTACTGTTGTAACCTGGGTCCACGTATTCTAAGTGCCTTGTACCAAGGAGATTTAATTTATTTGATCAGATTCAGACATGAATTCAGGAGTAGTAATTGAACGCATATTACTATTTTTTTTCTCTGTGTCCATTGGGTTTGTAGTTATCAAGGAAATTGTGTTTTCTATTGTGATTTTCAAAGTGGAAATCTGTCCATGTTCTCTTGGTTGTAGAGCTCAGATACAAAGCACAATTTGTACATCTCATACACTGGAGCTTGTAGAGGTGGGACTAGAGTTTCTTGCGGTTAGCTCACTTAATTGTTAGTTTCTCCCAGTGTGTTCCTCTTTGCTTGAGATAATAAAATAGAATAGTCTAAGTTACAAAATCCCTATCTGTCAAAGCAGATAGACTATTTAACAGAGCAATGTGGTTTCTGGACAACCAAAACCACAGTTAGACAAACAGATATTATTTGATCCAGTGGTCCCTTTGGTCAGATGGCTGGTATGTTCTTGAGCATTCAGTATTGTGGATTTCCTGGACTGCAACTCCTCTCTTAAGCAATGTTTAATTCATTAGTCTGTGGTATTGGGTCTTATAAGTCCCACTCTGTGTAGCAGGGCACATTCATTAACTGCAGGTTGAATGTTCCCCTTGAACTTTTTCCAGGAATTTTCAACATAATTTTCTTTTAAATCATCTAAAAATATAGTTATATGCAAGCTTCAGCAGAACCCAATGGAAGAAAACTAATTATCTGCATATTTTACACTGTACTGGACAGAAACAATACTTACCTTACTTCTTCAACTTAAACATATGCTTTTCCTAAAAATCCTTTCAAATGCCAGACTTCATATTTGGCTAAGACAGTAGCTTTCACTGGTTAGGACAGGTATCAGGTCTGCAGGGATGACAGGTATTCGATACGTAGTTCCTGTTTTGCTGTCAATGTGAGCTTCACATAAACCTTTAATTACTTGGCGTATCTACATTACTTTGTTGCATCACATTTTCTTAAAAAAGTTCTGTTAAATAGCCCATCACTTCACTGGTATTTTGGCAGCTCCAGAAACAGCTATTTCAGGATTTTTTAAAATAAATTTTCTAATCCATTTTATTATGTTGTTACATTTATTTTTTTTTTTACTAGTAGTGCTCAACTCTGCTTGCCCATAAAGTGGTGTTAATGTCTCTGATTATTTTATTCCAGATAAAAATTCATCTGGTTGATCCCTAAATTTTCTTCTTACTGGCATATCTGCAGTACATTTATCCTGTGCAGTACCTTTATTTAAGTAATTGGGTAGGACATTAATGCCATGTCGGGCTGCAAATCTTTGCCAATTCATGGGCAGAAATGTTAACAAGATTGTTTTTCAAGATCTATAATTCTCTGATGGAATAGAATAGAAATTTAGAATTAGAATAGAATAGAATAGAATAGAATAGAATAGAATAGAATAGAATAGAATAGAATAGAATAGAATAGAATAGAATAGAATAGAATAGAATAGAATAGAATAGAATAGAATAGAATAGAATAGAATAGAATAGAATAGAATAGAATAGGTTACAAGGGACCTACAACAATCATCTAGTCCAACTCATTATGGTATTCAAGACTGATTCTTGTTCTTATGGCTCTTCAGTGGTTCCTGTGCCCTCATGAAATCTCTTCATTGGGTTTTTGTAATTTTTTCCTTTAAGCCTGAACCATCTACTGATCATACTGGTTTGCTTACCCTTTATAACTGGATTCTTTAGTGATAATTTGCAGTTCATATGGAGTCTAATATATAACCAATTTGTACTGAACGTTATTTAAAATCAGAATAAATTTTATCTTATCTGAAAAACCTAAATTGGAAAGACTTCTAGTTTATGGTCCTGTTTTTTAATAACTCCATAGGTCTTGAGAGAATGTGATTAAAACCTCTGGTATTAAGGGAAGAATTAATATACTAGGATCACTGAGTATCGAATTTATAGTTGTGTTTAAGTATTGTTCCTTCAGTGTATTGACTTTCATTGCTTTTTTCTAACTGGGAGTATTATTAGAAGATAGTCTGGATTTATTGGTCTAGCTTTTCACCTGTTTTAAATCAGTATAAGTCACTTTGAGTCAGTGCAGCCCTGCTGTTCTGTTGGGTTTTCAAAAACTTTAAACAGAGTTACAAAAAGCACGTCTATTTTTGGAAGATATTTACATGGAAAATATGCTGCTTCCTCAGGTATGAAAACCAGGTATATTTAATAAAACAATCTTTTGTTACAAATTTATTATTGTGACTTCTTGTTGGTTTCTTTAAAGAATATTCTTATATTCTTTGTCCAAGTATATTTATCATAGTTTTCCCATTTTTTTTGCTCAACTAAAAAATATCTGTATTTCACGTTTTTCAATTTTTGTGACCTACAATACTGTCCATTGTGCAGTTTTGAAGTTTTAAGTGACCAAAGCTTGCACTCCATTTTTTGATCCTTTTCCAAGCATCCAGTAACAGTACGCATGGTCTTCTTTGTGACAGTTCATTTTGTTTCCT